GGCTGCTAGCCCCTTGGCAACTTCCAAAGGGTGGTTGTCAAGATTTTCTGATAACATTCCAGAACGCCCTGGGCCAATGCCTTGTGGGAAGGCAATAATACTACATGCCCAGGCCCTTAATGCTGTGTGCCTAAGGCCGTCGCCTCCTGGGATGCACTTACGTCCTGAGGAACAGTCCACAGCAGGGGTTATGGTGTGAGCAGGAGCAGGGCACTGTCCACGTCAGCTTCAGAAGCGACTAAACCGGGGCTCAAGCACTTGCTTTTCCAATGAGCCACGTCAGTCCTCGGGCATGGAGGGGTGGGGACCCTCCGTGGAGGACTGTCTCTCCCCACCTTAGTTTCCCTGGCCACTAAAGTTGGCATCCACATCTCTTCCTAGGGTGTTGTGACCAAGGAAAAACGTCAGGGAGTGACTGAAGAACGTGAGCCGGCGAAAGGTTAGGGAAGAGGCAGCTGACCGAGTGGTAGTGAGTGACGTCAGCGCTGCAGGCCGGTGCGGAACACAGTCCACTTTTCCCACAGAGGAGAAAGCATTGCTTATACCCTTAGGTAGTTTTGTGGGTTTTTTTCCCTTACTTTCAGGCAGAAGTGCGGAGGGAACAGGCAGGGGAGGCAGGGACTGGGGGGGGGGCACAGGCCTCAGCTGCTGCCCCGCCTGTTAGCCATGAGAACTGAATGTCAGGGACCTAGTATCTTCCCAAGAGCAGAATGGGTGCTTCTCCCAACCTGGGTTGTCCCTACGCTGCAACCCAGGTACGTGCCCTGACTGGGAATCAGCAGCCTTTCACTTCACAGGCCAGCTCTAACCTGGCCTGCTTTGTAAACCTCCTGGGTCAGATACGGTGCACAGATGACGTGTTGTAGAACTGAGCACCTGAAACCAGAGTGATTTTGTTAACCAGTGCCACCCCAGTACATTCAATGAAAGGGTCAGGCAGAGCAGGGCAGTACTCTGCCTTCATTTGCCCCTTCCCCTTCTGAGGACAAGCTGGGGGCCAGCCTGTCCTTGGACAACACCCTGGACGAATGCAGAGCCACCAGATGCAAGGAGCCAGGTCCCACACCCACCCAGTCACCCACTCTGGACTCACCCACCAGCTCAGGCTTTTATGGCAGAGAAAAACGAAGCTGCCCTGTTCAGCCTCTGTCTTTGGGTCTCTGCAGAGGCTGCCACGTGCAGGCGTGACCAGAGGGGAGTCTGGAGGGCCAGGTTGTGGTCTCCCCGGACCCACTGGCCCTGCCTGCAATTTCTGCACAGTAGCGGAGAGCCACAGTCAAACCTCACTTTTTGAATGTCTCCCATCTCAGTTTGGTTCTCGGCCCAATAACCCCCTCATGCTGATACCTGTATGATTCAGTTTTCAAACAAACTGCTTCCCAAAGAGCCTTCTGGGTGAATTAAGTTGGAGAACTGAGGTTCCACTGCACTTTGTCTTGGGTCTGGAAGACCACCCACCCTGCTTCTCTACTACCTTCTAGCCCAGTGCCCTTGGGCATTAAACTGTACCTTTTGAGGCCAGGTTCACAAGGACACATGAGATTGTGTTTGTGGGTAACGGTGAAACCTGATGCTCTGGACGGGTAGCTAAGTTGGTTAGAGCATGGTCCCAACACATGAAGGTTGCAGGTTCGATCCCCGGTCAGGGCACATAGAAGAATCAACCAATGAATGCATAAATAAGTGAAATGACAAATTAATATGGTTCTCTCTCCTGCCCTCTAAAAATAAATGAACAAACCAACCAACCCTGGCATTTACTGGGCATATATTTATCTTGTACCAGGCAGGCTCTGTGGGAGAACATCTACTTCATAAGGTCAGTTCTCCACGTTACAGAGCAGGAAACTTGAGGCCCAGCACGGTGCTCATTTGTCCGCAGAGCAGTGAGGGGTAGCGCGAGGGTGCCCTGTGAGCAGGCTGACCGCCAGAACTCCAACTCGTAACCACTCTGTGCTAACCTGCGCCGGCGCAGTGCCTGGAGCAGGGAGCCTGGCTCACTCACGAGATGACAGCACGCACTGTTCTGGTGCCGAGCGAACTAGACAAGGTCCCCACATTCGGCATTTATGACCTGCCAGCACAGGAAGCCACTTTCTCTCAAATCCCGCACCCAGGTGTGGGGAAAACCACAGTGATTTCACCTCTCTTCTTGTTCAGAGTGAAGAGCAGAGACCTTTCATTTACAAGACGTCGCATCCATTCCCCTCCATGTCCTTTCCCTGCACTCTCGCCGCCACTCTGACCGGGCAGTGCTTCAGACACAGAGGCACATTCCTGCCCCAGGGCCTTTGCACCCTTCCTCCAGGTGCTTGTGTGGCTTATCTTCTCATCTTCACATCTTCAAAGTGACTTCAGTGATGCTTTCCGTGGTAACTCTGTGTAAAACCCACCCCTCCCCCACAGTTATTATTACCTGTTCTCCTTTCTTGCTGTATTTCTCCTGAGCACATTTTACTTTTTTAAAAATAGCTTTTATTGGGTTTATAAATTACATAAAACTCACCCCTTTCAAATGTATACTTAAGTGATCTTTAGTAACTTTATCAAGGGGTGCAACTGTCTCTGCACATCAGTTTTGGAACACTCCCTCCCCTCACCCCAAAATCTCTCCTGCCCACGCATGCTGACCCCCATTCCCACGCAGTTCCCAGCATCCACTGACCCGCTCTGCCTGCCTGCCCCCCACGAGCACACCGCGAGGACGCCACCACACAATGGCCGTCTCGTGCCCAGCTCCTTCATTTAGCATCATGTTCCCGAGTTCGCCTGTGACGCAGCCTGGGTCAGTTTGTCCTTTTTGCTGTGTACATATCTCACATTTTGCCTATCCATTCACCAACCAATGGTCATCTTATTTCACGTTTTGACTCTATATTGCACCTTGTTCCCCCCACAGAATGTCAATTCCAGGAGGTTGGAAATTGTGTTCACCGCTGTACCCCCAGCCCTTGAACTGTGCTAGACACGCAGCAGGTGCTTGGAAAATGCACGGTGTTGGCACGAGAGCGAAGGATGAGTCTGGAGAGTGCTGAGCACGGGCTGTGCGGGCGCTATGCGGCAGGGAGGAAGGGACCGAGTGGCGGGGCTCTGTGGAGCCGGCCACCAGGGTGGGCTCCTCTGAGGAATGGACTTTGGAGCAGAGACCTGAGTGCACAAGGCTGATCACTGCCCATCCATCGACACCCCCGCTCCCCAGCCCCCCGCCCCGCCAGCTCACTGCCGGGCAGAAACTCACAAGGACACTCAGCCTGACAGCGGATGGAGCAGGTGGCTCTCCTGCCTGGCCTGACCTGGGGCCAGCCGTGTGGAGAGGGAAGGCCGGGTGCCACAGGCTGCCCCGGCTGCTGGGGGCTGTCCAGGGTGAGATGGAGGGAGCAGGCACAGCCTCGGCCTTGAGCCACACGCCGGGTGTGAATCCCGGCTCCCGTGTGACATTGCTGCACGTGCCCCTCGTCACCTCACTTAACTCTTCGGTCCCTTTGTTTTCTCATCTGCCAAACAGGGATAATAACACTATCTACCTTTTATTTTTAAAAAGCCAAAACATTGTTTCCTAAGCACTTACTCTGTGCCAGGCACAGGCCTAGGAAACTAAAACATCGGATTCTTACCTTTCCCCCGTTTGGCAGCTGCCACTTACAGATGAGGAAACTGAGGCACGAGGAGACAAGGCGACTTCCCCGATCACCCCACTGCTAAGAGGTCCAGCTGTGCTTCACACTCAGCAGCCTGGTCCCAAGTTCATGCTCTTCCCCTTTCAGACTGCTTGTCACCAAGCCAACAGAGGGGTTGTTAAAGTGAGTTAATGTCCGGGAAGCCCTTGGAATAGCGCCCGGAGTGGCACACAATAAACACACAGGGAGCGATAACGTTCCAACAGGTCACGGCGAGCCACCCACCCTCCGTGCTTCCTCAAGAGCACGCAGGCAACTGACCCTTTTGAGGGAAGCTGACACCTCTAGCCCCCTTCCCAGAAGTCCCCAACTGCCCACCCCAACCCCCAGGTCCTCCTCAGTTGCAAGGCTGAAGAGTGTTTTTGTTTTATTTTGCAGTTAACTGTCCACTCGCCCCACCACTGCCCACAGAGGGAAAGTTGGGCGGTGCTGGGGAGGGGCCCAGTCAGACCTAAGGACGCTGGACAAAGGTCTGGTGGGGCTCCTCAGCATTCCCCGGGCGGGCAGGTCCCGATGCCCCCCTCCCTGACTCTGGACATACTTCTTCTCACCACGCAGCTAGCCTGTGGCAGTTGTGCTCCTGGGAGTGCAGACCTTGAAGCTCAGGGAACATTCCCTGCCCCTGTGCCAACCCAGCCACCGTCTCTCAGCAGCCCTGGAGTGCACTTCCAAGAAGCCTAAGGCGGCCAGCCGGGTGAGTGACCCCAAGCACAGCTTCCCCAAAGTTCAGGGTCTATCAGAAGCAGGGGCAGCTAATCCGACATTCCAGGGGGCAGGGAGTATGGTGAAATAGGAGTGATTTTGACCTTGATGAGCTTCGAGCTCAGGCTTTCAACTTGGGGGCCCTCAGCCTCACTCCTTTGCTTTCAATGAGCACGGCCGCAGCCCCAGTAGTTCCTCAGGTTCTGCCAGCAGCTCCAGCGGCTCGGACTCGGAGGCAAAGGCAGAAGGCCTGCTGCTCCCCAGCAGGTGGTGCCCGGTGCCTCCACCCCTGCAGAGGCCAGCCGGGAATCTGGGCAACCCCTTCACTAAAGGGTCTCCTCTCCCAGCCCCACTGCCCTTGGCCCCACAGTCCCACTCTTCAGGCTCAGAAACGCAGGGAAGCACCCGGGGCAAGGTCAAAAAGCCCAAGATAAAAAGGGGAAGAAGGCTTCCCACTGACTGGCCCTGCCCGGCTCATAAAACCTTCTCTAGGCCTTCTGGTGACCTCTCCATTGCAGGCAGCTGTGCACTGCACCTGCCCCACCGGCCTGCTTCCCTGCGAGACTAGCCTGCCCCCTGCCGGGCAATCACGCGCAGCCACCAAGGAGAGGCCACCCACGCTGAGCCCATCAGGGTTTATTGTTTCTGGAACAGCCGCCACCTGCCAGAGGGACGGCTAGTGCAGCTGGGGATCTCAGCACTTGGTGGTGAAGGGGGCGGGGCGGAGGGCGGTGGAACGCGGGAGGGTCTCAGGCCCCGGGGAAGAGGACTGTCTGGACTATAGCTGCGGCGGCAGGCGATAGCTGGTAGCTGGCAGGTAGCTGGTAGCCTCCAGGAACAGCAGTTAGAGGCGGGCCCCACTGTCCTCACCGCACCAGGTGGAAGGTGAGCCAGTACATGAGCAGAGGCTGCGCCGCGGCCACGGCCATGGTCAGGTACATACGCAGCTGGTTCCGTGCCCCGCGCACTGGGACTCCCTCGGCCGCAGCCTCCGCCAGGATCTTCAAACGCAGCGTCCGGATCTGGGGCCGGTAGGAGTTACCCTTGAGCCCTCTGGGCCAGGCCCCTCTGCGGCCTCCGCTTTCTCCCTCCCTCCACAGGGGCAGCTGAGCTCAAGTCCCAGCTTCGGGGCTCCTTAGCTTCCCAAATCTAACAGACAGTGAGCAGCCGCTCAAGGCCTTGGGAGAAAATGTAAGGGGTCAAACCCAGGCCAGGCCCCTGAGCGAGTGAAGAGAGGAAGCACTGTGATGCTGAGCCTGGATGGGGTGGCCAGATGCGGCTCTGGCTGCTGTCTCCTGCTTACGTTACTCAGATGAGAATTTGTAACACAAGCCAGAATGCCTTTTTGAAAAATCTTTGTAAACAAGGACACCTAAGTCAAAGTCTACTGGATGGTTAGATGTGACCCACCAGCTGCCAGTCCGTGCTGTCGGCTCCCCACACTGTCCTCCAAGTATCCCGAGGTGCATTACTACCACCCCCAACTCACAAGAGAAAACTGAGGTGGAAAAAGAGGAAGTGGATCTGCCTGGATTCAGCAAAGCTTGGGGTCAGACCCAGGCCTGGCGACCACTGGCCCTCCTAACCAGCACCTCGCTACGGGCCCTCCCACAAACTACTTCGGGTGTGCTGAACATTTTTTCATCCTAAAGGAAATTCTGGCAGGAAGGCCCACCATGTAAGCAGAGTAGGGTAAGGGTGAGTGCCCCGCCCCCCCACCGTAACAATCTGGATGGCTCCGCTCTTCCTTTAAACCCCACCTTGGACACCCCCTCTTCCAGGAAGCCTTCCTGACCCCCAGGCCGCGGCACCCACTCCAGGGCTCCTCAGTTCAGCCAATGCTGCTCTGGTCTAAACTCCCCACCTGACATCCTCTGCTTGGATGCCTCCAGGGGACCCCAACTCCGTCCAAGAGGCCTGTGTTCTCAGCCTCATGCTGCCCTGAGCCCCAGCTCACCATGAACACAAAGATGGACACGCAGCACCAGCCCAGCACCAGGTAGTAGCCAATCTTCCCAAAGAGCAGGCCCATGAGGACCCCGCCGATCATCCTGGGGGTTGAAGAGGGAAAGGCTGGTCTGAAGAAGAGGCCCAGGTTGGGGCTGGGGGGCAGTGGGAGAGACGGTGATACTCACCCAACGTATTTGTAGCCCAAGAAGGCCACCAGGTCAATGGTGGTGAGGTCAGTGTTGGCAGTGACCAGGTAGAGGCTGAGCAGGATGGCCAGCACCTCCAATGTCAGCCAGGCCAACACCGAGCTGGCCTGCAGCCCCAGGAGGTCTGGGGAGAACCTGTGGGCACCGAACTGTCATTTGATCGGCCCGCTGAAACCCTCCCTAAACAGCCACTTGGGGACAGCCTGTGTTGGGTGGGGCTGGAGACCTGGCAATGACCAGGACGGACCTGGGCGCTGTCTGCGTGGAAGGCCCATTCCAGGAAAGGCAGACCTGTCCTCAGTGACAGCCTAGACATGTCGTGGGGAAGCCCAGGGCAGGGGCAGAGCCTGACCCAGCGTGGAGGGGACTCAGGCCTTCCCAGAGGAGGGGACACCTGCACTGAGCCCTGAAGACAACAGTGGGCTGGGAACAAAGGACCCTGGGCTCTGCCATGTCCCTGGTCTCTCAATAGCTAATTTACCCAAATGACAATTATTTTCAGTGTCACAAGGGAAATGAATGGGGCCTATGAGCGAGAGGTGGGGGCTCGACCCAGCCTGAGGAATGGGAAGGCTTCCCCAAGGAAGTGACATTGGAGTGGAGACATCTTGAGTGAGCAGGTGCTCAACAGGTGATGATGTGGGGGAGGGACATACTCCCGAGCAAAGGAAACTGCACAAAGACCCTGGGGCGGCAGTACCGGTCCCTCCGGAGGATGGAAAGAGGACCAGGACGGAGCAGCAGCGTGAGGAGGTGCAGAGAAAGGCCTCATGGAGGGCAGCGCAGGGTTAAGGAGCTGGGGCTTGGTCTGGGGCCAGGGAGCTACGGGCAGCTTCTGGGCAGGGTGGGACTAGACCCTTCTGGCTGCTGCTGGAGTTGGGGTGCAGGGGGAGTCTAGGGTCAGGGCAGCTAGCTAGGAGAGGGCGAGGATGAGACTGGACCTGGTGGCGGAGGCCGAGGGGAAGGACGGATTTAGATAACTACACGTGGGTGGGAAAGGGGGTGACCCTGAGCGTGACACCTAGAGCTCCTTTTGGGGCCAAACGGGAGCCGGGAGGGGCTGTTCTGAGAAGGGGCACCAGGAGACTGTCCCGACCACCCTCCCCCAGAACCTCATACCACCCTTACCTCTCCTGAGTCCCCAGAGCCAGGCCGGCCACCAAGATGTAGGTGATAAAAGCCATAGCTGTGGGAGGCAGACACACAGACACGACACAGGTCAGAGGAAGGACCATCGTGCCTGCGCCCCCGCCACGCAGCTTCTGCCCTAGACACGCCCACCCAGAGGGAGGAGGGTGCGCGGCCGTGGTGGGTAGGGTGATACCTGGAATGTAGAGGTCAGGAGCGTTGACATCAAAGCGGGGCGCCACGGGCGTGTCCTGCTGGTACTGCACCTCCCAGTCCTATGGGGACAGTGGGGGTGGCAGGCAAGGACCCCCGAGTTGGGCTCCTTCCACCCTGTTCACAGGTCCTCTTAGGCTGAGTTACCTTCCCCGTCCCTGATGGTACCCCCGCCTCTGACTCAGCCCCGCCCACAGCCCGCTCCCAGAGGCTGTCTCCCCTCAGACCACAGTCCCCGGGGCACAGGGCGCTCTGACCTGGTGCAGGTAGGGAAAGAAGAGCAGGCCCAGCTTTTTGCCCACGTACAGGGTGTCCACGGCGAAATAGTACTTGAGCTTGGTGACAGGGATGAAGCGGTCGATCTGGAGAGGCAGAGCTCTACCTGAAGCCCTGGCCCCAGGGCCCCAGGCTTCTCCCCACCCCCACCGGCCCGGCCCACTCACGTTCTTATCCACCAGCTCCTTGCCTTGCGCGGCCAGGCTGCTCCCGTAGGCCACGGCCATGTTGGACACTGGGTCATTCAGGAAGGCCCCCTGGGGCGAGGGGGCGGCTGCAGGGCAGCCCAGGCCGCCGGGCTCCCGCTGGGCGCCATAGCCCCGGCTCTGGGCCGCACTCGTGTCATCGAAAAGCTGGTGGGGGTCAGACATGCCCAGCTGGGACACAGGGATTCTCCGCTTTGAGGCTGTGGCGGGAGAGAGGTGGAAGCCTGGTTCATTCTGTGAGCGCGCTCCCTCCCATGCTGCCGCAGCGGCGCGGGTGTTCCTGTCCGACGACGGGTCGACCAGCCAAGTGTGGGAGGGCTCTGCCATCCAGCCATCCAGGTAACGAGGAGGGGGATGCTGATGGGTACGAGGTACTGGGCCTACTGTGCACAGAACCCTGCGCTGAGCTTGGTACGAACAAGGTCCCTGTCCACACGCCTCTTCGTGCTTCCCCTCCCTCAGTCAGCTCCAGCCACAGGGGCCTCAGGCTCGCTGAGCACACCAGGCATGCTCCCAGCTCAGGGCCGCGGCACTGGCTGTCCCTCTGTCCCTCTGTCCCTCAGCTGTCCTCGCGGTTCACTGCTCTCCTTGAAGTCTGGGCTCGGTGCGGCTTCCCCCCTACCCTGTCTGCATCCGGGCCTCCCGAGGTGGCATTCCCCACCCCCCTCCCTGCTTCATGTACAGCCACAGAACTCAGCACCAGCTGAGATGCTACACGTTTGATTTCTTTTGTTCCTGGCCTATCCACAAAACTCTTTGTCTTGTTCATCGCTGAATTCCATACGCAGCACTTGATAAAAACCAGATGAATGAATCAGTGGCCACCCCCATTTTCCAGATGTGGAAACCAAGGCCCAGACAGGCTAAATGACTTGTGCAAAGAGCCAAACTGAGTGAGCAAAGAAGAGCAAGAGTCCAACACAGGCTGCCCAATAAATCCTACGACAATTCAGCCCCAGCTGAGCATTGACCACGTATCAGGCCGTGTTCTGAACACTATGGATTAACTCAGTTAATCCTCACAACAACCCATTTGCACTGATGCTATTAGCACCCCCATTTTACAGATGGGAAAAGCAAGCCCCAAAGAGGTTCAGGTCCTTGTCTAAAGTCATACAGACAGTAAGAGGCAGAGCCAGAGTTCCAGTTTTTGAAAGGCCCCTTCGGCTTCATGTTGGGGATGGGGAGGGGAGGGGAGGGGAGAGGAGGGAGGGAGGGAGGGAGGGATGTGCTGGTGCCACAGGCAGGACTGGAGGGTGGGCAGAGAGGTTGGGGATGGGCTGTCTCCGGATGGCTTTTGGAGGCCAGAGGGCCAGGACTTGCTAGAGGTGTGCTAAGTCGCGGGGAGTAAGGAAGAGGAAGGAGACAGGAATATGGAGATGGCCAATTTGAACCCGGCACTCTGGCTCCAGGGCCCCTACTTCTAAGCAGTAAGGGAAGCTGCCACAGCCAATACTCACTGAGGCCTCCTATGTGCCGGGCACCATTGTGCGCACAGGGGACAGGGTGGTAGCATTGCAGTGGGACGGGGAGGGAGTCAAATCACCTGCATCATGCTTTTCTCGGTGCCTCAGTTCTCTCCAAGGCAAAGTGCTCATACGGCTCAGCCCTGGCCTGGCACCTATTACCAACGACAAGCCCCTCAGCTCCTCCTGTTGATTATCTGTAGCCGGAAACCTGACCCAGATGTCCTTACTCCCAGAGGAGGCAGCCCGGGCCTACCTACGTGCCCTCAAGCTCCATTTCTCTTTTCCCCTCCCACTTCTGGCCTGAAGGGTCACTTCCTGACAGCTTTGGTGCCAGCCTCTCCCTCCTTCGGCGTAACCCCCTCAGGCAGTGGCATTTGGGGTCCTGCTCCCAGAGGCCTCCTAAAGGCTCTCTGCACCCACCACCAGACTGAGGCCATTATCCCGCTCTCATCCAACTCAAGTCCTCACAGCACTGGTTGCACTGCCCCAAATGCCAACCTCCAGCTCTGCTCTCTTGGCTTCCGGGACACTGTACCCATCTTTTTTTCTTTCCCATCTGAGCCCTATAAACACCTACTGAGCACCCCTCTGTGGCTCTGATGCAGGCAGCGATGATCCAAAGGACAAAAACTCCTGCCCTCATGAAGCTGACGTCTCGCGATCAGTCCCTCTCAATCAGTAACTTATTCCAGCTCCCTGACATGTGTGCCTCAATTTCCCACCCTTGCCCTGTCTTCTGCCTCTCACTGAGGGCAGTCTCACCCACACCCACAGCTTTCGCAGGCACTGTGTGCCTCGGGCTCTGGGCTCTCGTCTCCAGCCACCACTTCTCTCCGGTACCCAGATCCAGGCTGGCCACTTCCTGGCAGTGCCCTCTGGCTGCCCCTGGGCCCTGACCTCAGTTTCCCACCCCTTGATTCCCCTTCTGTCTAACATCTAACCAGCCAATCGCTAGTTCTCACCTACTATGTCTCAATGTTACCCTTCCCTCTCAGACTTCACCTGACTTAAATGTACCCTTCTGGGTCCTCTGGTTCACAGGTAACAAGCATAAGGCCCAAGGGCCGAATCCAGCCCTCCACCTTGTTTCATCTGGCCCAGCACCTTGTTTCTATCCGGCAGCAGCACCAAGCTCTCACTTAACTGTTAAGGAGTAGTTACATTTATACAGTCCTAAAATTACATTCAGCCCTTTGAAGGCAACTGTGAGGCTGATGTGGCCCCTGTGAAAATGAGTTTGACACCCCTGCTCTAGTCCATTCTTAGTTGTACCAATCTTCTCTCCAGCAGGGAGCCAGAGTGATCCATTTAAATGACAGAGAGAACATGTCCTGCCCTGGCTGGTGTGCCTCAGTGGGTTGGCCATCAGCCTGAGGACGGAAGGTCAGGTTGGATTCCTGGATTCCCAGTCAGTTGGGGCACAGGCCTGGGTTACAGGCCAGGTCCTCGGCGGGGGGCATGCAAGAGGCAACCCATCCATCTATGTTTCTTTTGCACGTCAATGTTTTTCTCCCTGCCTTCTCCTCTCTCTAAAAATAAATAAATACATAGAAAACATTTCCTGTCCTCTGCCGAAGATCAGGGCCACTGTGTTGAGAATAACACCCGAATGCCTGTGAGGTCCTGCAGACAGGACCCAGCCCGGCCAACCATCCTCATTTACTACCTCCCCTTGGGGCTCACTGCATCCCAGCCACAACAGCCTCCTCCCTGACTCTGGCCCAGCCAAATTCCTGGCCCCCACAGGCTCTTGAACATGCAACACCATCACCTGGGAACACTGTCCCATGATTACCAACTGCCACTGCAAGCACTCTGGACTCAGCTCAATGTTTCCTTCTCGCTCTTTTGGATGTGAAAAGTGTCTCAAGCTTTGAATGTCAGGAAGCCTGGTGATTAGGGTTGTTATTATAAAAAATCTAAAAAGACAGTGGGATCTTTTAGTCTTGGCCTCAGCACTCACGGCATGAACAAGAAGTACTCCACATGAATGTCTTTGTTCAGTATTTGTTTGGTTTTATTTACTTATTTGTTTTTGCACTTCCGGCGCTGGATGTCTCTGGCTGAAGACTTGACGTGGTTCCTCCCTGAACTGTGTGTCCTGTGAGTAGCAGGTACTGTGCCAGGCTCCGTGTGTGTGTCACTGAGGCGGGTCCTATGTTCTAATACTGTTCCTAACATTTCACTGTACTAGCAAGAAATCTTTGATTTCATTTTATTCTTTGTAATTCTAGACACTAGGTTGTAGTTTAGCCATACTGACTTTTTAAAAAAGATTTTATTTATTTATTTTTAGAGAGAGGGGAAGGAAGGGAGAAAGAGAGGGAGAGAAACATCAGTGTGTGGTTGCCTCTCCTGTGCCCCCCACTGGGGACCTGGCCTGCAACCGAGGCATGTGTCCTGACCGGGAATCAAACCGGTGACCCTTTGGTTCACAGACCAGTGCTCAATCCATTGAGCCACACCAGCCAGGGCCGTACTGACTTTTTTTTTTAAAGAGAGATGTATTTTCTCTCACAGTTGTTTGGAAATAGACACTTTTCAGTCCTCAATTTTGCCCTTTGTTTTACAGGCACAAGTTTTCTAGCTCAGACAGCTGAGACAAACTGTAGGCTATCTCAAAGTCTTAACTCACGGGCACTCTGGCTGGTGCTCTGAGCGGCAGGCCGTGGGGCTGTGATGGTTCAGTGTGCACAGGTCCTGTTCTGCCAGACCGGGATTTTCCGTACTGAAACCTTACTTTGTATCAAAAGTTATAAACAGACTTTAGTACAATAAGGGTCAATTTCTGTAAAAAAAAAAAAAATGTTTCCTTCTCGGAGAGACCTTTCTCACTCCTCACTATAAAGCACTAACTAGCTTCAGCTTGTTCTTTCTCATAATATCTAGTGATTCTTTTTTTCCATTCTGAGTACTTATCACAATAGCTACAAATACATTCATCTGTGTACTTCTCAGTACAGACCTCCAATGTTTTTCCCTCTCACCGCAAATCCCCTTCTCTGGACTAATTCCTCTTCGTTACTCATACCTCTACCAGGAAGCTTCACTGACACCCCCAGGATGGGTCACATGCCTCATCTGGGCTATGTCAACACCCCCATCCCAGCCATCACCACTCTGATTGTGCTTCCCCTGCTCTGGCCCTACCCCCTCTGCTTGTGCTGCTTCTCTCACAGGCCCACCCTTCCAGCCTGAGGCTGTCTTCTGCTCTGTACTGGTAGCTCCGTGAGGATAGGAACCTGTTGGGGCACCGCTGTATCTCCAGCATCACCTACCACAGAGCCAGCCACTTTACTAATGGTTGAAGAGAGGACTGAGCGCACCACACTGTCTACCTCAACAGAGAGGCCTCCCCAACTCCTAGTAACATCCTGAATTATTCCCTTTATGGCCCTAATTAGTCCCCAAATTATCTGGCTGACTTGTTTCTGAGTTTAGTGTCTGTCTTCCCACTAAATTCTGAGCTATAAGTTAACGAGGGCCAGTGCAATGCTGGTCACTAACCAGGTACCCACATTTTAGCACAGGGCTGGGCACAAGGGTGGTGAGGCCAGATGTAATGAATGAAAAAATAAGATGAAAGCACACTCATGGAGATAAAGAGGAACTTAGAGAGAGATAGAAGTTCATAAAGATGAAGAAGGGTGGTTAACAGCAAAATAAACACAGGTTCAAATCTTAAATGAGGGATAATTGGCCTTCTCCGTTCACGAAGGGCTATGAACGCTGTCCTAAATGGGCGACAGCCCGTGGACACAGAAGGGTAGGGGCCAGGCTGACCGCTTCCTGCAAATCCACGAAAGTCACACTTTTCTGCCTATCATACAATATCCTGCCCCAAATTGTTTCCTTCCCAAAAACTTTCTAAAGAAGAATCGACCCCAATGCGTTCCTACCCGGAGCTGGCATCCCTTCGTGGTGCACACCTCAAAGAGCCAGATCCCTGACTTCGTGACCTCTGACCTGCCGCGACCCCGCCAACCACCTTGGCGGCCCGCCCGTTCTCTTCGGCCAGCCACGTACGCCACTTACGCTGCCGGGGTGTCCCCGCCGTCGACAAGCCAGCGGAGTGCATCTTTGGCCGCCACCACCTCCACCCGAGCCACGGTTCGAAATATGCCCGCCCGGCTTCCGTAGCCACACCCTACCTGCCACGCAACAGCCAATGGGTGATACAAGCGTCCAGGAGCCACACCCCCTTGCGGAGGCCTGGACGAATCGGCTGTGGGTAGGAGGTCCGTGACGTAAGCCGAGTTCAGACTTGAGCAGCGGGAGGGCGGGGCAGGTCCACTATCCAAGAGGTTGGCCAGTCGCGTCTGGGAACTGTAGGTGTCGAACGAAGAGGCCGATGGGAAATGGAGTTCTCTAAGGACAGTCGCTCAATTAGGGTCGCTGAGAGCAAGCTAGAGCTAGGGAAGAGAGGAGTGTTCCCCAGGGCTCAGCGAAGTGGTCCGGGCTCTGACAGTTATACAGCTTGCAGAACTTAGTTATTGAGGTGAACGTTCAGAATGAGAAAAGGATACTCGGCAAGTCAGGCAGTAAGAACCAAGGTGTCCATGAAGAAGATATCTCTAGGCGTTTTCCCAGAAAATCATAAAAATGTTTTGCGTTGCCTCCTAGCTTTCCCAGTCCTCCAAAAAAAACTAAAACTCCCAGCAACCCATAGCACACACAGGCACATCTGCAAGTGAGGAGCCCTGATAATTAAGCTTCCTTAGTCTCTCCTCTTTGTCCCTCAGTCTCCCCATGTATCAAACTAGGTCTCCCCCTTTCCCTCCCTCTCAGCCTCCCCTTTTCTGTCCCTCACTGTCCTCCACTTATCTCAGGCAAAGATAATGGTAGAAGTGACTTCTGGGCAGTGATAGCACTCCGGAAGAATGTCAGCGAGTGGCTCTATCACTGTGGCTTTCCCTTTCCTCCTCTGAGACATTGTCTTTTGGGGGGATCTTGAGGGCTGCTCTGGCCTCTGAGTCATGGCTAAGTCACAGGCTTTTTTTGTGTGTGTGAGTGAGGTATCCCCATTCCTCTTCTGCACCTCTGGTTTAGCATCCATCCCTTGGGCTCCACCAGCATTTTCTCATTTTCAGCTTTCCCACTCGTTTCTAAATTCTTCCGCAAATATTTTTTTAATAATTTTTTTTTAGATTTTATTTATTTTAGAGGGGAAGGGAAGGAGAGAGGGAGAGAAACAGCAATATATGGTTGCCTCTTGTGCATCCCCTGCTGGGAACTGGCCTGCAGGGAACCGGCCTGCAACCCTGGTATGTGCCCTGACTGGGAATCGAACCGCAATTGTCTGGTTCGCAGGCCCGCACTCAATCCACTGAGCTACACCAGCCAGGGCAAATATTTTTTTTTATTAGTGAAGTAAGTATTTTGGCTTTCTGCTCACCTCATGTCCACATAAGTCACACCTTACCAGTTTTGTGACTACTAAATTTTTTAGCCTACAATTTCTCATCTGTTTAGTGGGAATAATAGAAGAGGGGTTGAGGAGTCATTACAACCTCATGTGTCCACAGAGGCCTGACATATTGGAGCCTTTGATCACTGGCCCCCACTGTTACTGTTGTATTATCAGGCATCTCTTCTGGTGAGTTCTCAGTCCCAAGTTGGGCTCTTCCTAAGAGCTGCCACAGTTTTATAAATAGAAGCAGCTGGGGTGTGTCTGAGCTGGGCCACCAGCCCCGCTCATCTGCCAATCAGATGTGGTCAGGCCTCTGGTCTGCCTTCCAGAAGGCAGTCATAGAGGGTGCTGAGTCCAGTGGGAGTGGAATGTGGAGAAACGCACAGGGGGAACAGGGAAGGAACGATTCCCCTTTCAGTGGAGGCGTAGACCTGTGGTTCTGCCTAGAAAAGAGACCCTGCCTCATCCCTTCTCTTCCTTCATGTCTCACCTCATATTATTTCCTTTCTCCGGAAGCTCTCTTGATCTCCCAAAAGCTGTGGCAGCTGCCTCCTCTGGGCTTCGCTCCTCTGGGCTTCACAGTCTTCTAGGCATCCACCACCTCAACTCTGGTCACTCTGCCTGTGCTTCCCTCTGGGCTGTCACTCTGTTAAAGTGCTGGGAGCCCTCTGAGGGTAGGTTTCAGAACTGTCTTGGTCACTGCTGTGTCCCCAACATCACTCAGCAAACGGCCCAGCACAAAGTGGGTCCTGAACAAAGATTTGGCAAAGAGCTGAAGATCCCCACTCTGTCGCCTGCCCTGACCTGTGTGGCTCAGTTGGTCAGGCGTCCTCCCGCAAGGCGAAGGGGCGCCGGTTCCATTCCCGGCCAGGGCACGTGCCCATTGAGGTTCGGTCCCGCCGGGGGCATGCATGAGAGGCAACCGATGGATGTTTCTCACATTGACGTTTCTTTTCGTCTCTTCCTCCCTTCCCCTCTCTCTGAAAATAAAGAAATAAAATCCTTATTTAAAAAAAAAAAAAAGATCCCCACGAGAGGACACTGCTTCTGTGTTGTGACTTAGACACACCTCCCCTCCAGCGAACACAAGTCCACTCCAGAGCACTCGACTTGAGGAATGGTGCGAGGACTGGATGTCAATTTGTCCCCTTTCCCCCGCAGCCAAGCTCCTGGATGCAAAGCACAACCTTCGCAGACGTGCGCGATGGCCTGGAGGAGTTGGCTGCGACGTCTGGGTCCGAGAACTCGGACTCTGACTTTAGGAGTCGCGACCCCTGGGAGGCAGAGAGGAAAGGGAAGGGAAGAAAGGCGGAATGCCCCCACACTTTCCATCCCACTGCCCCGCGCCGTCCCGGAGCGCTGAGCTTCACTCTCCTCTCGGTGTTAACACCTGGCGGTGGGGCGTGCCTCAGTTTCTCGGAGGCGGGGCGCTTCGCCACCCCCGCCCCTCCCCTTTCCCTCCGGTTCCTCTTCGGGTCGCAGGCGGCCGCGCCTAGAGCGCTCCCGGAACTGAAGCTGGGCACCGGGCCCTCGGGAGGCGGGGGCCACGTCAGCCCGGCGGCGGCGGGGCTCGTCGGGGAGCCGGCGGGCCGGAGGGAGCCATGCGGCGGGGCGCGCTTCTAGCGGGCGCCCTGGCCTCCTACGCCGCGTACCTGGGCCTGGGCGCGCTGCTGGTGGCCCGTCTGGAGGGGCCGCACGAGGCTCGGCTCCGCGCGGAGCTGAAGATGCTGCGGGAGCAGCTGCTACGGCAAAGCCCGTGCTTGACCGCCCCCGCCCTGGATGCTTTCGTGGAGCGGGTGCTGGCGGCCGGGCGGCTGGGTCGCGCTGCCCTCGCCAACGCTTCGGGGCCCGCTAACGCCTCGGACCCCGCCTGGGACTTTGCCTCCTCTCTCTTCTTCGCCAGCACACTGGTCACCACCGTGGGTACGTGAGCGTCGCCCCAATCCCCAAGCCAGCGAGGACCTGAGACCCTCACCTTGTCCTCATCCCCAGGGTCACCTGGGAGCCCTCACGAGACAGCCTTACTCCAGTGGATCACTCCAGTCCGCTCTGGGCCTAGGATCCCCTCAAAACCCCAGAGAGAACCCGGGATCCACAGTCGTGGGATCCGCACGCCCCTCCCCCAAGCCCCCATCAAGCCTCTCCTCCCAGCAGGAAATCCCCCAGTTCCCTCCAGCACGAGGTCCAAACTCAGAATACCTTGCAGGGAGCGTCCGAGACGTCATTATTCGGCCTTGAGCCCCGTGGAGACCTGGGCCCATCCAGTCCTCAGAGACCTTCAGCAGGGACCTGGGATCCTGGGCCTGAGACCCTCACCCTCTCTGGACCCGGATCTTAGCCACTAAGGACCTCTGCCCTCCTCTCTGGGCTCAGAATGCCGTCCAGATATGTCCTTCAGGGACACACCTTGGGAAGCCCTAACCCAACCTCCTCCTGGCCCTGGTGTCCGGGTGAGAACCCTGAGTCTCCAGACCCTCTGGGGGTGCCATCGCTAAAGACCTTACTGCCAGTAGAGATCCCTCAGCCAGGACCTGGGGTCTCCCCCTGAGATGTCCACTCCTGTGGATCTAGACCACCCCCCAGCAAGGGCCCCTGCCCTCCCACATCCTCACAGTCCCCAGCAGGTAAGCCCTGACCCCAGACACAGGGCACTTCCATGCACCCCACTCCACCTTGGCCTCTCCCGTGTATTGAGGAGCCCTCAATGCAGGGTCTTCTTCCAACAGAGACACTGGCTTTCTCTGAACTTGGAACTTCTACTTTAGCAGCCCCTAACTGGATGTGTGAAGAGACCTACTGCAGAGGGAGCTAGACCACCCTCCAGAAGCCCCCCCAGCCAGGACTCCCTCGCCTCCGATCCAAAACTGACTCCAGCAAAACCCCTACAGCTTTTCAAACCAGGGACTCCCCATGGGGGCTTCTTTGAAGCTGAAAACCCCTGGTTGAGACTCAACACTTTCTGGACCCTGATGCCCTCAACAAGAGCCCCAGAACCACCTGGACCTCCTGTCAGGGACCCCAGCGCCCTCCACACACTGTCACTGGGAGCAGAATATGCCCCCCGCCACATGGTGCCAGTTACCAGCCTAGGGACTCTGCTCTTCGCACCAGCTACTCCTGCCCTGAGACACCACCCCCTTCAGCCTCTGCCCCATCCCAACTTGGATTTCCCAAGAAAGGGAATCTCCTGGGCACCTGGAACCTCTCTGATCTCTAAACCCACAGCGGGAGCTCCCTGAATAACCCAACGCCACCCTAGCTTGCCTTGGATCTGGAATTCTCCCCTCCACCAAGGATACTCCAGGCCCCTGCACCCCAGAGCCCTAGTCCACTCAAGACCATCACCACTTTCTACCTTGACGTGCACGGGCAGGACCTGAGACACCCACTCTGTCCCGTCATCCCCTTAGCATTGTCTACCCTCATCATGTCCCCTCAGGCACCTTGGGGCTCAAAACCCCCCTCTGCCTGAGGGTTCCCCTCCCGATCCTATTTGTGATCCAGCAAATGCCCCCGCTGGTGCCTGTCCCCTCTTTACTCTGGACCCAGGACCCAGGCCCAAACCAGGATCCATTTCAAACCAGGACACTGGCCTTTGAATTTGGGTTACCCGATCCCCAAATCCCTCTCTCTGAAACCAGCCTTTTCAGGTGGGCCCAACCCCTCCTCCAAGACCTGCCCACCACTTTCGCACCCTCCAGTCCCCGGCAGACCTGGGAAACCCCTGTCGTCAGGCTCTGCTGGTCCTTCCACATCCCCTCCCCAAACTTCCTCTTTCTCCCTTTGCTTGAAATTTGGACTAGGGGTTGGGGGGAGGTGGGGGCTCGAGCAAGCCTAGCCCAGACTCCTAACTCCTCCTCCCGGCCTGCAGTAGCTATCCCGTGGCCTTTGCCTTTGGCGGCTCATTGTGTGGACCAGCAAACCAAGGCCACGGGCAGCAGGGCAGCAGGGCCGGATGCGCCTCTCATACTCAGTTCTGCTGGCTGGGCCTGCCCAACCTGTTCCTGGGCTTCACTGGGTCATATGAGTGTCTCCACCAACCTCCTCCCAGATCCTGGCTTATGAGAAGTCTTCCGGGTGGGACAGGTGAGGAAGCCAAACAAAGGCAGGCTCAGCCTGGGTTTCAGATCCCTGCTCAGCCCCTGCTCAGCTGTAGGCCTCAGCGTCCTCCCTCTTCTATAAAACGGGTAAAACACTCCCCACTTCACAGCAGTAGTGAAATCTGGTAGAGGACTTGCCACATACAGGCTGTAACTCAGTCGGCACAGTAGCCTTGTGAGGCAGATGACATTCGTGGCCTTATTTCTTTGAGCAGGAGAAACAGGCCCAGAGAGGCTGCACAGCTTGCCGAGGGCTGTACAACTAGGAAGGTGTAGAGTGGAAATTTGAACCCAGGCCATCAGGCCTCAGAGTCCCACGCTCTTAACCAACACACCACACTGCCATTTAGGCCTGCATGATGGAGAGTGATGTGTGCGTATTGCAAAAGAAAAATTAACTTGAACACTTGTTAAAAATGGTTGCCCTGGCTGGTGTAGCTCAGTGGATTGAGCACGGGCCTGGGAACCAAAGGATCACGGTTCCATTCCCAGTCAGGGCACGTGCCTGGGTTGCAGGCCAGTTCCCAGCAGGAGCACATGAGAGACAACCATACACTGATATTTCCCTTTCTCTCTCCTTCCCTTCCCCTCTAAAGATAAATAAATAAAATCTTTAAAAATGGTAAGTTATTGCAGTAGGGGGGAGAGACTGAACTCAACTGTGAATATAGCAAAGGCAGCTGGAGATGTAGAGCAGAGAGCGGGGGGGGGGTCAGCGAGTGAGGAATGACTAAGGAGACTGGCAGGCAGGCAGGGGGAGTCCTGTTTACTGGATTAATGGGATTGTTGTGAAAGGCTGGCCAAGTCCTCAGCTCTCAAGGGTGGAGGATGAGGAGTGTGATCAGACATCAAGAGTGGAGAGATTCTCCCTAAACTAACTTAGGGTTCTTGTTAAAACTTGGCCAAGAAGAGGGCTCAGAGGAGCCTAAATAAAGTTGGTTGGGGCGGGGGGGGGGGAGCTGGGATGGGAGTAAAAGACAGAAAACTGTACTTGAACAATAATTAAATTTAAAAAAGTAAAAATTTTTTAAAAAGCATAAAAAGAACAGAAAGTCAGTCAGGAGGGAGTCTGTCAGTTTGAAGGGCTGGGGATAGGAACAGGTTTTCTGAGCCTCGGTTTTCACTGTTCGGGAAGCCTGGAGCTCTGAATGTATCTGAGAAACCGAACATCGGTCAGAGAGACCTCTCCCATGCCTCCTGGTCTCGGCACAGGCCCAGGTCCTCTGAGGAAGACCCACGGCCTGGGGTGGATGCAGGCAGCCTTGCTGCAGTTGAGGCCAGGGCTGGAGGAGTCGGCAAACTGGACTGAGCATGACCATCATGGTGACTCTTGCTATGTCTTGTTAGGTGCTACGCCTTGTGTGAACCCGGTAGGATCATTCCTGTTACTGCTGTTTGAGAAAGGCATTGTTTATGAGCCCATTTTGCAGGACTCTGGGGAAACAGGCTCAGAGAGGAAAGTCACGTGGCCAAGGCAATACAAGGAATAAACGGCAAAAAAAACCCCACCAAACTGATTTGGACTTTGTTTTTTGGGTTAGCAAGTTGAGACTCCCAGCCCCCCATTCTATTCTTAACTCTAATTTTTCTGTTTATAAGGAGTTTGTATGATTTGCAAACCTGCCATTTCAGCCAGGCTGTTGGGGTTTGTCCATCAAACTAGTTGTATTAGTTAGTGATGGTTGGAACATTACATGAAAAACCTCAAGTAACAGTTTACCTAAATAAGATGGAAATTTACTTCTTGCTCACATTCGTTATAGTCAGTCCAAGACCAGAATGATGCTGCACGGTCAGAGCACCTTTTGTTCCTCCGTGACACATCTGTGCACGGTCACCTCATGGTCCAAGATGGCTGCTCAACTTCAGCCTTTCTGTCTGCGTTCAGCCAGCAGGAAGTGGGGGGAAAGAAGGAAGATGGGCATCTCACTCTCTTTAAGGACACTTCCTGGAAATTGTTTTCTCCTTTTTTTAAAAAGATTTTATTTACTTATTTTAGAGAGAGGGAAAGGAAGGGAGAAAGAGAGGATGACAACACCCATGTGCAGTTGCCTCTTGTGCGCCCCCTACTGGGGACCTGGCCTGCAACCCAGACGTGTGCCCTGACTGGGGATCAAACTGGCCACCCTTTGGTTCACAGCCTGACACTCAGTCCACTGAGTCACACGAGCCAGGGCCATGTTTGCTTCTTTCATATATATCTCATATTGGCCAGAAATTATTTCAATTATACCAGCTGAGAGGAGGGAATGTCTTTATTCCAGCTGACCATGTGGTGTCCAGCAAAAACCAGAGTCCTTTTCATTTTTCCTCAGTTTTTTTACTTTATTATTTTCCCCCTCACCCAAGACTTTTTTTCATTGCTTTTAGAAAGAGAGGAAGGGAGAGCGAGAAACACCAATGCAAGAGAGAAGCATGAATTAGTTGCCTCGTCTACTCGGACTGGGACTTGAACCCACAACCTAGGCATGTGCTCTGACTGAGAATTGAACCTGCAACCTTTTGATTATGGGACTACGCTCCAACCAACTGAGCCACGATGATCAGGGCTTCCTTAATTTTTTTAAAAGTGTATTTTATTGATTGTACTATTATAGTTGTTTCCTTTTTTCCTTCTCTTTAACCCCCTCTGCCCTGCACCCCCCCACCAACATTCCCACTTTAGTTCATGTCCATGGTCATACATATAAGTTCTTTGGCCTCTCTGTTTCCTATACTATTCTTAAACTCTCCCCGTCTATTTTGTGCCCACCATTTATGCTTATTTCCAGTACCTCTTCCCCCTTCCCCTCTCCCTCCATTTCTGTGATTCTGTTTCTGTTCTAGTTGTTTGCTTAGTTTGTTTTGGTTTTTAGGTTCAGTTGTTGATACTTGTGAGTTTGTTATCATTTTATTGTTCATAGTGTCAATCTTCTTCTTACATAAGTCCCTTTCACATTTCGTATAATAAGGGCTTGGTGATGAACTCCTTGAACTTGACCTTATCTGAGAAGTACTTTATCTGCCCTCCATTCTAAATAAAAGCTTTGCTGGATAGAGCAATCTTGGATGTAGGTCCTTGCCTTCCATGACTTTGAATACTTCTTTCCAGCCCCTTCTTGCCTGTAAGGTTTCTTTTGAGAAATCAGCTGATAGTCTTATGGGAACTCCTTTGTAGGTAACTCTCTCCTTTTCTCTCCCTGCTTTTAAGATTCTTTCCTTATCTTTCATCTTGAATAATTTAATTATGATGTGTCTTGGAGTGTTCCTCCTTGGATGCAATTTCTTTGGAACTCTCTGAGTTTCCTGGACTCCCTGGAAGTCTATTTCCTTTGCCAGATTGGGGAAGTTTTTTTTTTTTCACAGCCTTGCAGCGCATCCTCTCTGCCCAGGTTGCCATCTCTGCCCTTCCTACCAGTCTGGATGAATATTTCTTTAACTCCATGGTCATTGGACTTCCATATAGTTCAATTTTCTGGCAGTTCTGGTGGGTTTTTGTTTTTAAATTTGGTTGTTGTCCTTTTGGTTGTGCAAGGGAGCAAAGCATATCTACCTATGCCTCCATCTTGGCCAGAAGTCCTCAATTTTTTTATTATGGTAAAATACACATAGCCCTGGCTGGTGTAGCTCAGTGGATTGAGCGCGGGCCTGCGAACCAGACAACTGCAGTTCGATTCCCAGTCAGGGCACATGCCTGGGTTGCAGGTTGGTTCTCTGCAGGCCAGTTCCCAGCAGGGGATGCACAAAAGGCAACCACACATTGATGTTTCTCTCCCTCTGTCCTTCCCTTCCCCTCTACAGATAAATAAATAAAATCTTTGAAAAAAAAAATACACATAAAATTCACCATCTTTGCCACTTTTAAGTGGCAAAATTATTGAGCATAAGGCTGGATATGCTGTGTTTTCTGCAAAAACATTTTACTGTCAACATAAACTAGGCCCCTCACCACCCCAATATCTCCAAATACTTGGGTTGATTTGTTTGGGAAATAGAGATTTTAAATTATACATTGCCACCGTGAGCCAGTCTCACCTATGCTGAAAACCCTGTATCGGGTTTCTGTTTGCAGAACTCACACCCGTCGTCCTGTGTTCTCAGGCCCTCCAGGGCTCAGTGGGGCTTGTCGCGCCCATTTTAGAGTAGAGGGAGCCAGACTACAACCTGCACCCTTCATTTATTATTTCGACTATTGGCTGAGTGCCCACTCTGTGCCCAATACCAGGACTATAGCAGTGACCGAAATAGAGGCCCCTCCCCTCCTGGAGATGGCACTCGAAAGAGGGAGACAGGTGATAACCAAATAAGGAAACCATACGGTTTGCTAGAAGGTGTTAGATACTATGAAAACACCCCCCCACGCCCAAAAAAGAGCTGGATATAAGAGGGTGTTACGATTAAAAATCAGGTGGTCAGGGAAGACCTCACTGGGGTCATATTTGAACAAAGACCTGAGGGACGGGGAAGGGAACCCTGTGGATACTCGAGGGAAGGGTGTTCCACGAGAAAAAAGCGGGCAGTGCAAAGGCTCTGGGGTGGGAGTGTACTTCCCTGCTGGGTTAAGTGGGGCCTTGTGGGTCACGATGAAGACTTTGTCCTTTCAACTGAGTGGGATGGAACCACAGGAGGGCTCCGAGCAGGGGAGGGACATGAGTTACCACTGGTGTTCACAGCACCCATATGTCTGCATGGGGGGGCAACAGACTGTGGGGGCAAGGGTTGGGGCAGCAGGGGGGCAGGAAGGAGACTACTGGGGTAGGTGGAGTGGGTGGGTTTGGGGTTTATTTGAAATTTGACACAACAGGATTCACTGACAGAAAAAAAAGCGGGTGCGAGTGTAAGGGAGTGCAGGATGAGGCAAAGTCATCTGTCCTGAGCAGTCAGAAGGATGGAGGTGCCATTACTGGAGATGAGGGAATGGGCATGGGGGGAGCAGATTCAAGGGTGTAATTAGGTCTTGGTGTAGGGTGGCCAGAGACCCCCAAGTTGGGGTGCCAAGTGGGCAGATGAATTTCCTCATCACTTCCACAGGCTATGGGTACATGACGCCACTGACTGATGCGGGCAAGGCCTTTTCCATTGCCTTTGCGCTCCTGGGCGTGCCAGCCACCATGTTGCTGCTGACTGCCTCAGCCCAGCATCTGTCGCTGCTGCTGACCCATGCACCCCTGTCCTGGCTGAGCACGCGCTGGGGCTGGGACTCCCAGCGGGCAGCTCGCTGGCACCTGGTGGTTCTGCTGGGGATCGTGACGATCGTCTGCTTCCTGGTACCAGCTGCAGTCTTTGCCTACCTTGAGGAGGCCTGGAGCTTCCTGGACGCCTTCTACTTCTGCTTCATCTCTCTGTCCACCATTGGCCTGGGCGACTATGTGCCCGGGGAAGCCCCCGGCCAGCCCTACCGGGCCCTCTACAAGGTGCTAGTCACAGGTGAGTGGGGTGGCCTGCTCGGGACTGAGGGTAGGGGCATGACCTTGTACTGGGGGCTTTGAGGGGAATTCGGCCTGTCCAAGAGGGAAGTTAAGGGCCACAGCCCCAGCAGGGCTAGGAGGGCCAGTAGTCCCTTAGCCCTGCCTGGGGTCAGAGTCCACCCATGGCCCCTGTGCTGTCGTCTCTGCAGCCTACCTCTTCCTGGGCCTGGTCATCATGGTTCTGGTGCTGCAGACTGTCCGCCATGTGTCTGACCTTCACGGCCTCACAGAGCTCATCCTGCTGCCCAGTCCGTGCCCCGCCAGCATCAGTGAGGATGAGGACGATCGGGTAGACATCCTGGGCCACCACTCGGAACCACACCAGCAACTCACCACCGGATCCCACACTGACTATGCCTCTATCCCCAGGTAGTTGGGACAGGGATCTTGAAGCTGGATGGACCAGGCCTGTGGCTGAGGGGCCGCATGGTGAGCTGCCATACACATGCCAGTGCTCGTGAGCACCCTGCCACCAACTGTTCGTCCTTCGTTGTACCTGTCCTGGGCTCTCCCCACACCCACGTTACCTTACTGTCCTGGCCCTACTCTGATCTCCCCGCCTTCTGTGCCTCTTTGGCTTTCTTACCATTTCTGTCTTTCCCTCGCACTGTCTCTTTGTTTCTCAGTCTTGTATTCAATCTGCTTCTCTCAGCAACTTAGTATCTATGGTTCTACCAGACTCTGGGCTCAGACCTCATTTCGGCCACTAGATCAATTGGTCACTACACCAGGGACAAGTGACAGCTCTCTCTGAGCCTTGATTTCCTTATCTGTCAAGTGGAAAGAATACAGGGTGGGGCAAACGCAGGTTTATAGTTGTTGGTATGGAAAGTAGTACAATGAAGAAATAACAACACAAGGATAAACTGTTTCGTGTATTCACAACTGTCAACCTACCTTTGCCCCACCCTGTATATTACTGCCTCTCAAACCCTCTCTTCTCTGCTGGGCAGTGCTAGACACACAGTAACGGCCGAGGCGGCTGGGCCCCACTCTGGAGACAGAAGCCCTGTCTGGATCCAAACAGCACAGAAGGCACTGTTCTCAGCCATGACATAAATGTATCAGCTGTCCCCATTTACCAAGCACAGAGCGCACACTGTGTGGGTTCCGGAGCCAGTCTGCTTGGGTGCAAACCCCAGCTAGTTGCAGACTGCCCGTCGCTGTGGGCAGTCATTTTCCCTGAGATTCTCAGTCCCTCATCTGTCAAATGGCCGTAATAATAGTACTCACTTCACAAGATGACTTCACAGAGCTTGCCAGGTTATTCTGCGATGCTTTCTTTGGCCAGGCCCTGTCCTGGGTACTTTACCTGTATGAGGAAGACAGTATTATCATCCCTTTTCCACAGATGAAGAAACTGAGGCACAGGCAGGGCAGGGGAGGTCCCTTGTCTTAGACATAGAGCTAGGAGGTGATTGATTTTCTGTTTACTCCCCTCAGGTTTGTTCCCTCCAAAGATGGTGTATCAGTAATAGCACTTACTGCCAAAGACCCAATTACCAAGCTGCTACCTCTTTGAAGCCCTGTGGAGGTGGCATATTAGCTGGGTCTCGAGACTAGACAAGGGGGAGGGCATGGGGAGGGCATTCCAGGCAGGAGAAACCATGTGAGCAGAGGCGTGGAGATTGGAAAGCACGTTGGACACCAGCTTCTGTGATGAGTATGGAGTGAATGGGGGAAGCAGGGTGGAGTGGCTGACACGGGCACCTCTTAAGTGTCTCTAAATGACCAGCTTGGGAAACTTAGCTTCTTTCTTGAGGGTGCTAGAGAATCATGGAAGGGTTTTTGAGCAGGTGAGGGTCACGGTCAGGTTTGTGCCTTAAAAAGATCCCCTGGTTTCTCTGTGGATGTAGCTCAGAGAAGGCTAGGGCCCGAACAAGGCAGGAGGCAACAGGGCTGGGAAGGGCCAAAGGCAGGAGGTACAGGTGGAGGGAGGCTCAGGAGGTCAAGTGGACAGGCCATAGGCCTTACAGACTTGGGTGGGGAGGGGCCCCAAGGGATGCTCAGCTGCTCTTGAGATAGAGACTTGGACAAAGAACAGGTTAGACGGGCGATGCTGAGGCTAGTTTGGAACATGGTATGAGGGGCTAAAGACACCCAGGGGAAAGTGTTAGGAGATTACAAAATCCCCAGGGTTGGGGCTTGGAGTGGTTGAGGCTAGAGACAGGTGCGGGGACCAAGGCCAGTTGAGGAAAGGAAACCCAGAGAGGTTAAGTAATTCGCCCAAGGTCACACAGCAGGTGCAAAACTGGGATCTGAGCAAGGATTGGGTTGGTCACTTTGTCCCGTGGGAGCTCAGGAACATGTACTGTCTAGCTGTTTCTCACCTTCCTAGTCTTCCGCCTCCTCACCCTGGTCCTTGTCGACCTTGCTGCTGAAGTCAGCAGCTGGCTGGGGAGGCGATTGTTTCCCCCCTTTTTGAGGGAGGTACTTGTTTTGACTTTTGCTCATCACTTCTACTTCCAAATTCCTCTAGAAAAGAGAAACCAGGCCCTGTTCTTTGATGACTTTAAAAGAAAAAAAGGTGCATGCCAAAAATTCAAAAGCTACAAAAGAGTGTACAGTGGAAGGTCAGTCTCCAGCACTCAGGCTGTGTTGACTGAGTTCTCAGGTCTCCTTCCAGGCAAGTACCAGCAATATACATGTGTGTGAATACGTGGCATTTTCCTTTCACTCTGCACAAGTGGTAACTAGTATGGTGAGGTGGTTCCCATCACAGACTCTGGAGGCAAAGCCCCTGGCTGTAATACATCTGAGCTCTGTCACTACCAGTCAGGGCATGTGCTTTCGCCTCCCTGTGCTGGAGTTTGCCAGCCTGTGAAATGGGAGGTTAACAGCACCTACCTCATCACTTTGCTAGAGAATTAAGCAACTTGATGTCTGTAAAGCTCTTAGGACAGTGTCTGGGGTTCAATAAAATCTTGGCTAATCATTATTATCAACATTTCTGCACTTTGACTTTTATAATATATGTTATACATATACATGTATATAATTTTATACACTTTTTCTAATATTCTCATTTCTGCACCTTGTTTTTTTTTTCACCAACCTAGTATAATTCATAGATCAATCCAGAGATAGACAGGTAGGTCCCATACCTTTTTAATGTCTGCAGTACCTCCTCTGGGACACACATCCCATAAATTATTCCAACATCTCCTTAATGGACATGTGGGTGGTTGGCAGTCTCTGGCATAAAGGATGCTGCGGGGACACCTAGTGTATCAAGGTCTCACAAAGACACCTCCCCCAGAAGGGGCTGTATTTCTGAGCGGGGGTGCCACGAGAAGACCCCAGGCTGCCCGATTTCGTTGGGGAATCTAGAAGGGCTCAGGGACGCAGCTGCTGAGTGTATTCTCTCAGAGGAAGTCACTCCTCCCTGGCCCACGGGGTGGGCTAGAGGTGGAGAACCTAGATATCCATCAGCTGTTCATTTACATAGAATACCTGTTCCATGTTGAACAGAGTTGGGAACAAGACTGACAGAGAAAGTCTTAGGTCCTGTCATCCCAGAGTCTGATTCTGTGGGAGATAAAGACCCAGTCCCAGATGGTTATATGGCCTGGCATAGTCAGGAGGGAGGGACTGGTCATATCACAAAGACTCCGGGAGAAAGAAAGTGGTCAGCCACTGACAAAGTAGAGAGAAGTGTTTCAGAAAGTGCTACAACATGTGCAGCTTGGAGGAGAAAAATCATGCCTCATCCAGGAATTTAACTTGCTCCGTGTGCCTAGACTGTGAGCTACTCGGGTGTGTAGGGGGAAAAGAGATGAGCTGGACTGGAAGGCCAACAGGCATGAAATTATGCAGGATCCTGGAAAACAACTTTGGAGGTTTCCCTGCAGTGCTGGGGAGACTGGGAAGGTTTTGGAGCACTGGTTGCTACGTGTGGCCCCATATTATCAGTATCAGCATCACCTGTGAGGGGGACCAAAGATTACCACCTCAAATCTGATTTTGGGATTTTGAAATATCAAGCTGGTTATTTTTAGAAAGGATAGAGGACCTGCTCAAAGAAAGGAGCTATCTACCATGGTAGATAACTAATTTAATATGAACCAGGTGTGACAGACAGGGAGGAACCTAGAAAGGCTCATTTGATCAAAGTCCTCTCTGTGTCCCATTGTTAAATATGGCCCAGCAAATGGCTTTTCCATGCCCATGAGAATTGCCTTCCTGCCTTTCAAATCCCAAACCACAACCCCTCCCCCAGTTTTCCTTAGCTCCAAAATAGCACAAAAACCTCAACTGCCCAAAGCCTCTTTGGGTCTCCTGTCTTAAGGCACCCCCACATGTACATCTGTAATAAACTTGTGACATTTTTTCCTGTTAATCTGTCTCATATTAATTTGATCATTAGCCCAGCCAGAAGACCTTAGAAAGGTGAGAGGAAATTTCATTTTTCTGACCTCACACCTGGAAACGTGCTAGAAGTACAATTTTTGAGCCCCACCTCAGCCTTACTGAATCAAAAATTCTGGGAGTGGATCCCAAAGACCGGTTTTAACAAGCTTTTCTGATGAGTCTAACACATGCTGAAGTTGGAAAACTACAAGTTTAGTGGAAAGTCATCTCAGCAGTTCCTCAAAAAGTCAAGATCTGAGTCCTTACTGTTAGACTACAAATGAAAATTAACTTACTGAATATTTGTTTGTGACAGTTAACTCTCCACGTGTTATCTTACTTGCCACAATCACTGTACACGATGGTTGCTTTTGTCCCTGTTTTGTACAAGCGAGTGTTAACTTGCAGTCAGATTAATCCCCACAAGACCAAACTTTGTTTTTAGGTGTAGAATTTTTTTTATGTAAAAGCCTGATTGGGTGAAAGGACGCATAGGTATCACAAACTTCGTCTCCAGCACCCCATGCCGGCCAGGCCCCAACACGCCTGGGTGTTGCGCATCACTCCCCCTTCCCCGGTAAGCGCCGGGAGCTTGTTGGGACGCTCGTTACCGTGGAGACAGGCGTGCGCGGCCGGCGTGCCTCGAGGAAGGCGGAAGGCGGCTGTGGAAGTGCGGGCGGCCATTTTGAGACCTGGTAAGTGGGACGGGCCTGGAGTCGGAAAGGGACTGTTGGCCGGTTTAATCTAAGCGGTACCGCGGGGCGGGGAGAAGAGGGAGGTGCCTGGTGCCATCCTAGGGAGGGATGCGGGGAGTAAGGGAGGAGAGTGGGAGAGGCAGGGAAAGGGAAGAGAGTGGAGGGACCCGGCAGAGGAGGCGACTGGCGAAGAAGTGCGGGGCGAGAAACAAGGAAAGACTAAGAGATGCTATGAGTGGAGGCGGGGCTAGAAGATGCCGGGCGTAGAGCCCGTTGTCCAAGGCATGGTTTGGGATGGTGAAGAGGAGGGTTGGGGCGAAAAGATGTCGCGGTTCGGAAAGGGGAAGGTCGAGGAGGTGCTGACCTACAAGGTACCCGGCGTGGAACTAGGAGAAGGCGCAGGGCAAGGAGAGAAGGAAAGGCAAAGACGGTCTCTCAGGAGAGGGGGCGGGGCCCCGCGAGGGGTGGAGCACGGAGCAGGCTCGGGGACTGAGGGCTTGTCCAGAACCAGAGGAAGGGAGGTGTCGAGAATAGGTCGAAGACCAGGAACGGTAAAGGAGCCCAAACAGATCGGAGGGCAAGCTCTAAGCGGGAAACAGCGGCAAAGCCAGGGGAAGAGGAGGGACGTGAAGAAGGACCAAGACCGGGAGGGGGGCGGGCCTAGGTACTGGATCCCGTAGGCCCGCAGGACCCGTGCGAGGAGAAAGGGGCGGTGCGAAGAGAAGTGGGCTGGTGGGGCTAGAAGTGAGGGCGAGGTGCAGCTGCCATGCAGGTGTAGGTATGAGGTCAGAGGGAATGGCAGGAATGGAGAAAAGAGATGGAATGCAGCCCAAGTCGGAAGCCGAAACCAGACTGGGTGAAGAGTTGGGGAGGGATGCAGAGCGGAAAAATAAGGGTGCAGCAAGGTTAAGGGAGGAGACCAAGAGAAAGGGAGCTAAACCAGAGTATCCTTATGGCCAGGGGCAACGGTAGGGGCGGGACCTGAAGTAGTAACAAGAGTGAGATCCCCCGAAGGGGAAGTTGCAGGACCTAGGGCTGGAGCGAGGTCTGGAGCGGAGGCAGAGCCCAGAGCAAGAGCTATGTTGGGGCCAGCAGGCCTAGCAGAGGTGAGGCCAGGAGAAAGAGCGGGGCCAAGCCCATGAGCCCAGTGAGGCAAAGTACAGAGTCAGGATCTCAGAAGGTGACCCTGGAGCGCAGTCTTGCCAGCTGGAGTTCACCACCGCATTCCTTAGGTTCAAGGCACGCTGTGCTCTGTCCCACGATGAATCCCGCTGGCCCTGCGTGGCCGAGACTACAAGTCCTGTGTCCACTGCTGGCGGTGCTCTTACCACCGTGGAGTCTGTGGGCTGCTGAGGAGTGCACCTGGCAGGTTGTTCTGAACAAGTTCGAGACAGTAGGCAAGAACTTCAGGAGTGACCGATTCTTCGATCAAGAGCCCCTGGACACAGTGGGCAGCTTGTTCAGCCTTCTGGTGGATGCGCCGATTGACCCGGACCAGGTGAGGGCTCTGGGGCCAGGAGAACGAGAGAGGTCCTGGACCTGCACCCCAGTGGACTCTGAACATTTGCCTCAACCTCTCCTTGCAGGAATACATGAGCTTCCCTTACTACCTGAAGATCAACTACTCTTGCAAGGGAGAGGTGAGTGCGTGCAGCCAGAGGGGGCTTGGTCTGTGTGAACCTCAGTTTCCCCATCTCTAACATTGTTTTAAGAGATTATTTATTATTGGACAGAGGGGAAGGGAGCGAGAGAGGGAGAGAAACATCAGTGTGCGGTTGCCTCTCCTATGCCCCCTACTGGGGACCTGGCCTGCAACCCTAACTGGGAACTGAACCTGTGACCCTTTGGTTCTCAGGCCGGCACCTGAGCCAGGCCAGCCAGGTCTAACGGTCAACCTTTAGTTAGCAGGCCAGCTCTCAATCCACTGAGCTACACCAGCCAGGGCGATATTGAGCATCTTTTCACGTGCTCATTCATCTATCTATCTTTGGAGAAATGTTCATTCAGATCTTTTGCCCACTTAAAAATTGGATTGTCTTTTTAATGTTGTGTTGTAAAATTTCTTGATATATTCTGATACTAGTTTCTTATTAGATACATGATTTGTATATATTTTCTCACATTTTGTTAGTTGTTTTACTTTCTGGATGGTGTCCTTTGAAGCACAAAAGTTTTATGTTTATTGAGATATAATTCACATACCATAAAAGAGCACTAAAATTTTAAATTTCAATGAAGTTCAATTTATCAATTTTTTGTGTTGTTGTTACCTATGTTTTTGGTGTAAACAGGTTGTCTAAAGTCTTTGCCTAACTGGAGGTCATGGAGATTTACTCGTGTGTGTGTGTGTGTGTTTTAAAGTAGTTTAGTTCTTACATTTAGGTCTTCAAAACATTTTGAATTAGTTTTGTATACGGTGTGAGGTAGGGGTCCAACTTCAACATGTGACTACCCAGTTATCCCAGTATCATTTGTTGAAATCATTCTTTACCCCATTGAAATATCTTGGCACCCTTGTCAGAAATCAACTGACCATAAATGTAAGGGCTTATTTCTGCATATAATTCTATTCCATCTCTCTGTATGTCTATCCATATGCCAGTACCACATAGTCTTGATTACTGTAGCTTTGTGGTAAGTTTTGAAATCAAAAAGTGTGAGTCCTCAAACTTTATTATTCTTTTCCAAGATTGTTTTGGCTCAGGTAAGCTTTTTTTAAAATAATTTTATTTTTCAATCAGGTAAGCTTTTTGAAGACAGTGGAATGTTGTGGTCTAGAAGTGAAGGTCTGGGCGCTGCAGCCTAGGTTTGAATCTGCCATTGATTAATGTTTACTTGGGGGTAGTGTAGCACAATAGTTAACACTTTGAACCAGGCTGCCTGGGTTCAGATT